TGTGCTGCGTTTCAGGACAGCCCCAGCCTGGCACAGCAGGACCAGGAGCAGAGGGGCCCCACCTTGTCCTTGCTGTTCAAGGGAGCCTTGAAGTCACAGAGGATCTCGGAGCAGGAGATGCAGCCGCTGGCAGCTGTGGGCAAGGACAGAGGCTGAGCAGGGGGGACAGGAGCAGGACAGGGCTGGCACTGCCCCCAGGGGGACAGGAGAAGGACAGGGTTGGCACTGCCCCCGAGGGGACAGGAGAAGGACAGGGTTGGCACTGCCCCCATGGGGACAGGAGAAGGACAGGGCTGGCACTGCCCCCTGAGGGGACAGGAGCAGGACAGGGCTGGCACTGCCCCCAAGGGGACAGGAGAAGGACAGGGTTGGCACTGCCCCCGAGGGGGACAGGAGCAGGACAGGGCTGGGCACTGTCCCCCGAGGGGACAGGAGAAGGACAGGGTTGGCACTGCCCCCGAGGGGACAGGAGAAGGACAGGGCTGGCACTGCCCCTGAGGGGACAGGAGCAGGACAGGGTTGGCACTGCCCCCGAGGGGACAGGAGAAGGACAGGGCTGGCACTGCCCCCATGAGGACAGGAGCAGGACAGGGATGGCACTGTCCCCACTCACCCGCCAGGTGCAGCGCGGTCCGGCCACTGCCATCGGCCACGTCCACAGGGCAGGAGGCCTGGGGAGAGAGCCTGGGTCACGGGAGGAGGGGGACAGAGGGACAGACTGCTCAGGTGGCTCTGTGGCACGGTGAAGGACAGGGGACTGACAGACTCTGTGGTGTGGCGAAGGAGTGGGACAGACAGACAAACCCCCGCTGGCTCCACGCTGTGGTGAAGGACAAGGGACAGAGCCCTGTGGCTCTCTGGTGCCAGGCAGCAGCACACAGAGCTGGGAACTGCCATGCCAAGGCACTGCTGAGGGAAGGGGGTTCAAGGGCAGGGAGGACACTCTGCTGGCACTGCACCTCCCTCCCTCCCTCCCTCTGTCCCTCCTCCCTCTCCCTGTACCTGCAGCAGTTTGCTGACACACTGAGGGTGCCCGTGCTTGGAGGCCAAGTGCAGGGCAGTGTAACCTGGGAAGGGACAAACAGGTCAGAGCACGGCCAGCAGGGCTGTGCCAGAGGGGACAGCTTGGGGACAGAGAGACAGGAACAAAGCAGGATCTGCTGGAACAGGGGGACAACCCCAGGAGCTCATCAGGCACTGCTTGAGCTCCTTTAGGAAACTGGGACAATTTACAGCCCCCCAGGTGTGGCCACCACCTCTGTCCCCTCAGCCTCAACACCTGGGGATGACCAGTGGCTCTGTGTGGCAGGGACACGTGGTGGCCATGCCCTCACCCGAGCTGTCCTTGGTCATGGCATCCACGCCGTGGGCCAGCATTGCTTCCAGGCAGTCCACGTTGCCCCGTGTGGCAGCCAGGTGGAACCTGCAGCGAGAGCAGGGCCTGTGGGACTCTGTCCCCTGTCCCCAGCCGTGTCCCCAGGGCAGGGCCTGGCACTCACGCGGATTTGCCCTCCGAGTCCAGCTTGGTGGGCACCAGGCCCTTGCGGAGCAGGAGCGACGTGACCCGCCCGGCATCGTTGTAGTCGACGGCCTGAAGCAGCTTCTCGTCGTTCTTGGTCCAGTCCTGGCTCTGCAAGGGAGCCCAGAGGAGGCTGTGACAGTGTCAGCTGGGACAGTGCTGTCCCCAGGGCTGGCTGTGCTTGTCCCCAGCCCTGCCGTGCTCCATCCAGCCCTGTCCCTGAGGGTGGCTGTGTCTGTGCCCCTCTCCTGGGAGCTCTCCCCCAGGTATGGAGGGTTCAGCAGGGATTGGGATGAAAATCTCCTCCAGCCCCTCCAGTTTGCAAGGGATTTACAGACACAGCCCAGTTTAGCTGTGCCACGCTGGGATTTGGGAGTGAGCCCAATTGCCCCGGGGTTTGCCCCTGCCACCCTGAAATCCCACAGCTAAACCCAGCCAGCACCCATGGGAGCCCCATTCTCTCCAGATCCCATTCCCAGCCCTGCTTTGCTCCCGGAGGAGGAAGGGATCAAACCAGGGCGGGCACAGCTGGCAGCGAGAGCAGATCCCCGGGGATGCTCCAGCCTCCCAGGATAACGGGGCACAGCGCTGTGCCCCCCAACAGGACCGCGGCTGGTTGGGATTCGCTCTCCCTGT